TGGTGGGAGAATCCATTGGATGGATCCCTTGGTGGGAGGTGAATCCATTGGATGGATCCACTGGTGGGAGGTGGATCCACTGGTGGATGCAGGAGGGGAGGATGAGACCAAGATTCTTGAGTGGCGGTTTTTCTTCTCTTCCTTTGCCTCAGGTGCTGCCGGAGTCTTCCCTAGGCCGTGCAGTGTGGTGAGAAGAGCTCTGGTCTTGGGCGTCAGAAGGTCTGGGCTTGAGTCCTGGCTCTGCTCACCCTGTGCCATCACCTTCCCCTCTGGGCCTCAGTTTCCCGGTCTGTGGCATGGGGCAGTGGTGCTGCACACCAGGCTGTTGCTGCCTCAGGGTATCAGACACCACAAGTGGGGTATGGGTGGCACGTAGTAGGTGCCTGACTCCTGCCTAGAAATCTCGGGGGAACAGCTGTGCGTGTTCTCGGGGGTGCAGCGAGGGTGTTCTGCAGACGGTCGCCAGGCTGAGGGCCAGGCAAGGTGGCAGTTGGAGGACTAATGACAGCGCCAACGAGTCGCAGCCTGCTCGGCACTTTCATGTAGAGGGAGCCCCAGGCTTCTCCAGCCACTGCCCTCAGCCAGGCCCTGACCCAGCTGCGCCCTAATCACACGCCTCCGTCAGAAGCCACCTTTCATCCAGCATCAGGTGGAGCTTAATAACCATCCTCTGCGGCCTTCACCCACCCGGCCTGCGGTTGATCAGCCACATTATTAACCTTGATATTCTCTGCCCTGGAGGCAGGATCATGGTACCACAAGAGCTAAGGGACCAGTGTGGATCCGAAGCCACTTAGCAAAGGCCTCCTGACTGCACAGCATGCTGGGGAAAGGGCACAGCCTGGCTTTCCCCTGGAGGTGTGAACAGGGGCAGCTTCACATTATTCCTTCTCTGGGCCTCAGTTTGCCCAATCTGTACAGTGGGGGACCTGGGTTATCATCGGTTTTCTACAGTGCGCCGTTTATTCTCATGAGTGTTTATTCTCAGGGAGTTGTTCATCTACTACGGTAGGAAAGAGTGCATCCTCCATCCTCTGTGTCCCCACGGATAACTGGCCAAAGTCACCTGTGTATTAAAGGCTCTGGAGAAGTCCTTCACCACGATCTTGTGTGCAGCTGTGTTTAAGCCGCTCTATGTCCGAAGTGGGACAGATGTGTGAAGTCCTCGGGACTCTGATTTTGAGATGCTCAGAATTTGTCCAAGCCTCCTCTCCGCATGACCAGGCTGAGGTTTCACACGTGAGCGGTTCGGCTGATCTCCTTCGTGTTGCGTCTGTCGCCTCCATTTTCCCTAGGGAGTGAGATTGGACTTGGGAAGGGGTCCCACTCGTTCCTCAGGACCTGCCCCTGATTCTGCCAGTGCTCTGGCCTGGAGGAAAGTGAGCGCTGCTCTAACCTCTGCTTTCTTCTTTACATTTCGAAGGAGCCTCCTTACGGGCCAGAAATCCTCCAAAACCTTCCCGGGGATGTTTCTGCACTGAGGCCCGCCCGGGACGGTGGGTGATCAGTTCCCACAGGAAGTCTGCTCCCGAAGGGCTCCGCCCCGAACATAATCTCAGATTCTTCCACATCTGATAACCGCTTCCCTTTCACAAACCACGAAGGCCGCGGGCTCTTATATGAAAAATGATGGCAGGTGGATACATTTGGAATTAGAAACAATTCAATAGCCTTTAAAAAATGCTTTGCCTGCAGGGCTTTTCGGAGACTTTAATATGCTAATGTTTAATAGGTCTCTAAGAGAGGACTGATGAGATTTCGATACTGATCGCAGAACATTTTTCTTGCCGAGACACTAGTTTAATTGATGTTAATTTTTGGAAACTCCGCCTTCCCAGGTTGATTTGATCTCTAAGGCCTTCATTTCTTGTCTTTATCTCTCTCGGGCACCAATAAGAAAGATAGCTGAGGGAAGAGACCAGCCTTGGAATATTGCTGTCTGTGCTTCAAAGGGCTATTTATTCCCAAAACCACTTAATTAAACTCACCTTAATATATCTACGCAGCATCTAAGTACCTTTTTTATTTGAGGGAAATTCCAAAGTAGAAGAGTGAATTCCTCACCGCTGTGCGTCCTGACTTGGCAATTGCTCTTGACATACTGCTGCCCCTGCTACCTGCCCTCCCTGGTTTCTTGCCTGGCATCGTCCTTCTGGACAATTCCATGAGCCGCGTGGTGTCGTTTATATATTTTTTGCCCCCACTAGAGTTAGTTGGTTGCAACTGAGAACCCTGATCTCTCTTTCAAAACCATCCACCAGCCGGCCCTTGTCCGCGGACATTTGTCCCTCTGAACCTCCGCCTTGCTGGTTACACACTGGCTCATCCGCCACTTCCCGCCATGTTAACGTGATGAGCTTACAAGGCCGGAGGCTTTTCCAAAGTGAATAAACCAACGGGAGCAGGAAACAGCGAGAAACCAAGGCCGTATTCCTACCCGGGAACTGGATGGCTTCATGAAGAAGTTATGAACACAAGTGTGCGCTGTGTGTGGGAAAGGGAACGGGGTGGGACCACGGGGCTGGAAATAGCTCCGCCCTTGGACCTGGGGTGGTGAGAGCTGGGAGCCAGCAGCTGTGGAATCTGCTAGAGGAGCGGGGTTGACTTCGGTGACCTGGCATGGAGTGGACTAGGGGTATAAACACCCTGTCAACACGCTCCTCCCTCCCTCTGATCTCCTGCCAGAGCCAGAGAAAACACTGTCCGAGGCCACACGGGTCAGCTCCTGGGCCTGGAGCGGGTCAGGGAAGGTGGACAGTGGACAGAGGATCAATGCAGAGGCACCGCACAACAGTGCTATGAAACTGTGCCCTCCACCCAAGTCTTTCTCGCGTATTCTGTGAGGTATCCAGGATCCAAAGCATTTATTTTGTTCCTTCCATTAGTCGGTTGTAACTAAGAAGATTGACTCCTTGTATCCATTTATCTAAATATTCATCCATCCATCCATTTATTTATTCATCCACACACCTATCCATCCATCCACCCACCCACACACTCATCTACCTGCCCACTTACCCACTTATCTAAATATCCATCCATCCACCCATCCATCCACCCAACTGTTCACCTCCAGTGGGTTTCCATGTGAAGGTCACAGTATTGATGACCTGCGGGGCTTCCTGTGACCTGCACTCTTCCCCTCCCCACCATGAGCCTTCTCCCTTCAGCCCTGCTTACTCGCCCTGTTCCCCCCACTCCACACACACGGGCCTTTCCTCCTCCCTCGATAATCTCCTGACTCCGTACCGTGTACGTGATGTCCCTGCTCCCTAGAAGACTCCTCCCATGTACATTCTCCTGCCTCCCTCCTTCCACGTTTTCACTCAGATGTCATCTTGTCTGATCACCCGTCAGCAAAGGAGAATCCTGCCCCCCATCCTCACGTTTCTGATCTTCCCCAACTGGTTTCCTTCTTATCGCCTCTGCCATACGTGTTTGTGTGTACAGATCTCCTCTTCTTGCTGCCTGGGTATCTCCTTTAGCCTCTCAGCAGATTATCAATTCTATCGTGGAGGGATTTTTGCCGGTTTGTGTATTGCTGTGCTCCTAGCCTGCTAAAGAATCCCTGGCACACGGAAGAGTCCCCACGAAGCTATGCACTTGCTGGCTACGTGAAGGAAGGCACGGAGGCAGCTCCGAGTAAGTCTCCAGCCTACCCGGAGGGCTGGGGAGGGGCCCAGCGAGGACCCTTTTCTCTGTGAGTTTCCACGGCTCGTTTTATCCCCAGCGCCTCACAGGCTGAAACTCCAGCGAGAGTTAATGCTCTCCCTGTGCCCCGAGGAGATGCCCCGAACTTTCCATGCCAGTTCTGGACTTGGCTGCTCCTGACTCCTCGTCCTGCTTAGGAAAACCCGAGGGCAAGGAAGGGAAAAAGTGAACACTTCACACATTCATCTTCAAAGCACTTAATAAACGCTCAAGTAATTAATTCCCCTGGCTCCCTGGGAAGTGGATTTTATTGTCTCTCTTCTGGCACCAGGGAACTGAACAGTTCCATTTTTTTTCCCGGGGCCACATTGCGAGCCCAGAGCGGTGCCAGAGTTTCTGGCCAGGAGGCCTCCTGGGTCGCCGCTGGTGGCCAGAGGAGCTGGGTCAGATGGGAAGCGGTTGGGCGGGACCCGGGCCACGGCGGATGCCCCGTTTCCCAAGGATGTGGGCAGCTGGGGGCTGCAGAGGCCAGGAAGCTGTGTGGAGACCCTGGGCCCAGATTGCTCCTGGGATTTCAGGTTTAAGCAGGGGCTTGTGTGGCAACTTTACCAGGGAAATGAGCTCTACCCCACGGCAGCCCAGGCGAAGGTCAGTCGGGCTAAGCAGGGGCCTTCTGTGGGCCCGGGTCCTGTTCCTTAGATGTTTCCTTCGCTTTGTTATCAGAAGAACAGACTTACCCGATTTCCATTCTGGTGATGTCCTAGTTTCTGGGAGAAAGGTCAGCAGAGGGCTTAACTGTTTTATGTTGGTGATATTGGTGAGTGTGCTAAGAATCACCGTTCCTACATCAATTATCTCCATGCCACTGTTTTGCTGTGTGCTTGGGGCTGAAAGTTAGACCTGAGGTTTAGGCTGTGTCTCTACTGGGGTCCTGGCTTTCCCATCTGTTAAACACATAATAACAAAACACTCACGTGAGTACCATGTATCAGACAGTGCTCTAAGGAGTTTACATTTTTTTAAATCTTCACAACTCTTTGAGATAGGAACTATTTTGCTTTTTCCCTTCCTCCTTCCCTCCCTTTCTTTTTCTTTATTCCTCCTTTCTCTTCCTCTCCTTCCTTCCTTCCTTCCTTCCTTCCTTCCTTCCTTCCTTCCTTCCTTCCTTCCTGTTGTTGGAATGAACCCAAGGCCTTCCCCCTGAACTACATCCTCAGCCATTTCTTTTTTTTATTTTTAGTTTGACACAGGGTTTCACTAAATCTCTGAATTGCCCAAGCTTGCCTTGAACTTGTGATCCTCCTGCCTCAGCCTCCCAA